AGATATCAGATTGGATGAGTGAGCATAGAGTTAATGATATCTCTGAGGGAGATGTGGCGATTCGTCTTGATTTGATTGCTAAAGTTGGTGGTTTAGGAGAAGCAGAGAAGTTTTTCGAATCGATTCCTGTGGATAGGAGGAACTACCATCTCTACGGTGCTCTCTTGAACTGCTATGCGAGCAAGAAGGTGTTGCACAAAGCCGAGCAAGTGTTTCAGAAGATGAAAGAGCTCGGGTTCCTCAGAGGTTGTCTTCCTTACAATGTGATGCTAAACCTCTACATCAGGTCTGGGAAATACACAATGGTTGAGAAGCTTCTGCGGGAAATGGAGGATGGGAATGTGAAACCAGATATCTTCACAGTGAACACGCGGCTGCATGCCTATTCGGTTATATCTGATGTTGAGGGAATGGAGAAGTTTCTGATGACTTGTGAGGCTGACCCGGGACTTCAGCTGGACTGGCGCACTTACGCCGATTCAGCAAACGCCTACATAAAAGCTGGATCAACTGAAAAGGCGCTAGAGATGTTGCGTAAATCAGAGCAGTTGCTGAATCCTCAGAAAAGAAAGCAAGCCTATGAGGTTCTCATGTCATTCTATGGGGCTGCAGGTAAGAAAGAAGAGGTGTACCGTCTCTGGAGCTTGTACAAGGAGCTGGACGGGTTCTTCAACACTGGATACATAAGTGTGATCAGTGCGCTCTTTAAGATGGATGATATCGAGGGGGCTGAGAAGATTATGGGGGAGTGGGAAGCTGGACACTCTCTATTCGATAGCCGGATCCCGCACTTGTTAATAACAGGTTATTGCAAGAAGGGTATGATGGAGAAGGCCGAGGAAGTAGCAAAAATGGTGGTCCAGGAGACGAGCACATGGGAGCGATTAGCTCTCGGGTACAAGATGGCGGGTGAGATGGAGAAGGCGGTAGAGAGATGGAAGAGGGCAATAGAGGTGAGCCAACCAGGGTGGAGACCACACCAAGTTGTGCTGATGAGCTGTGTGGATTATCTAGAGAGTCAAAGAGACATGGAGAGTTTAAGAAAGATTTTGAGACTGCTAAGCGACCGAGGACACATTTCCTACGATCAACTACTTTACGATATGAATGGAGCTGGACTGGGTTGGAAGATAGTCGATGCAATGGGAAGAAATCGATACACTGAGGAAGGAGAAGTAAAAATGTAGCCAAACAATAGAGTCTTGAGAGACTATTTAGATATATCAAATCCAGTTTTGTTCCATACATAAATAAGCTTTTTTGGGCTTAAGGTTTATCCCCTAAGAATGAGTTAACAAAAGCGAAACACCTAATAGATAGATTAATGCTAACTATATAACAAACAGAGTTACAAATCATTTGATTCATGCGTTAGTCTTCTCCACCGACGTATCCTCCTCCTACCATTGCCTCCACCATCTTCAGGCTCAATCTTTTTTTGTCCATTGCATGTGACACTTGCTCTCGCTTGCCCAGCAGTCTGAGAATGTCGGCTGCACTCTCTATGTCTCTTCGACCCTCAACATACTGCACGCAGGTGTAAGCAGACAGAGCGAGGCTACCCTTTGGGTTCCAGCGGTCTTGCAACCTCCCCTCCATGGCCTTTGTCACTCTCTTCCTCCTCTCCTCTTCTCTATCCTCTTCGTCCTCCACCAAGCTCTTTCTAACTTTTGTGTCAAACTCTCCCACTTGCTCTCCTCCTTCTTTCCAAGCATGTTCACAACCTTCTCGGCCTCCTCCTTGACATATCTCTTTCGCAAACCAAAATCCGCCAGATCAAGATCTCCACCCCCGGTATCCCACTCTTCCAAAACCTCGTGAGCCACATCGAGATCGCCCTTCATCGTAAAGGTCTTGATAATGTCAGAATATCCAAAACTGTCAAACGATAAGAAGTCCTTACACAAGTTCCAGAGACGGTAAACGTCCTCTCTTGAACCATCATGACAATACATTCCCATGAGACCTCCGTAGATTTTATCTCTGCAGCTTGCTTCAGCAAGCAATGGCTCAGTCCTACGTAGCAAGGCTAAACCTTTTTCCCTAAATCCTGCTCCATAGTAGGCCAATCCAGGGAAAAAGCACACTCCCCATGCGTGCTCAACCTTGTTCTCCCACTTGCTCAAAAACTTCTCCATTCCTTCAATGTCGTAGACAGATGACATGGCGTAAGAAGACAAGAGCTGTGCAAAGGGTACTCATTTTGGTTCCATGTCGTAATTGTCCATCTCGCGCAGAAGGTTCACGACCATATCGTGGTTTCCAGCCTCATGGTAGAGACAGAGCATGGTGTTGTAAGGTTCAGGTTGGTTTTTAGTGAAGCCAAGGTCACTCATGTTCTGAAAAGTGGACTCGGCTATGCTCAACGAGCTCTCGGCTTTGCAGCGGTTCAAGAGAGCGCTGTGCACGTAAAAACCCCTCATTTGCAGTGGAATTGTGTCCAAAAACCCGTGCGCTTCTTGGAGACCATGAACTTTTGCAATCAAGAGAAGCCTAGTCTCGTAATCTAACGAAGTCAGATTGTAGATGTCTTGGCCACTCATCCACTCAGAAATCTACACACCCACACACACAAAAACGATCTTTCTTATTCAAAGCAAAATAGCTCTAATGCTGGCAAAAACTCAATTGAAGAAATCGCTAACCTGGAGGGCATGAGAGAATCGGTTGCTTCCGTGAAGAGAAGAGATGATTCGCCTGAGATCTGAGAGAGTTGTTCCATTGCCGAATTGGGACCATTCACGGAGCAAAGGGATGATGGAGACGGTGGAATCAGAAGCTCGGTCGATCCGACGCTTGAGAGAGTCATGAGAGAGATCAGGAGAAGGGATGGTTTTGGGAAAATGGAGGAAGGAACACCTGCAAGGAAGGATCCTCTTCTTCAAGACAAGGAATTGTGGTCGGAGAAGATGCTTCATCCTCCTCCTCCGACCAGACCGCTTTGATATATTTTTTTCTTTTATTAGTAGTATTTTGCATAAAAAACAAATAAATAAAAATATACGGCTTACCTTAACCGGAAGACTGCCCATAAATTGGGAATCCACACATAAACCGCGAAAAACAGAGCACTCGGTTTGGTTCGGTTCACTCACTTGTTCAATGCAAAATAGCTCTAAAAGACATCACCTCCACACATAAACCAATCATATCCTCCACACATAAACCAATCAATCATATCCTC